GTGCCCCGGAGCGCCTCAGACCGCGCGGCAGCCTCCCGGCGGGGGACGAAACCTCAACTCCGCCCAGGAAGGCCCGGGCCTCTGTTCCTCCCCAATCAACGTGGAATCCGACAAGTGGCAGCAAAGGGTCGCCAGCCCGGGCTTCCCTCCGTCGAGGCTCAGAAAAGGACCTAACCCCCGTCGCCACGCGGCCCACCTGGCTGGGCCCTCGCCTCCTCACCTGACCGTACTTGGCTTCCTGCTCCAAGGTTCCCTTCTCCAGCCCGTTCACCGCATGCGGGGCGGTGGCAGGAAAGTTGTTGCGGCCCAGGCTGCTCCACTCCTCCACCTTGGGGCTGTGGTAGGGGGAGCTGTCGCTCACTCCTGGGGAGGAGGAGAAGGTGTCAGGCTGGAGGCCCAACTCGCGCGCCCCACTCCTGAGAAGGGACCCGAACCCTCGATCAGAGAGCACTAGCGCTCCGATCTCGGATCGTCTATTTGCCCTAGGCCTCCCAAGAGCACCAGCCACGACCTTCTCAGCTTCTAGCTGGTGACCCGGCAGAAGTTTTACTCCTTTGAGAATAGATCTCTCTCCGCGTTCTCTCCCAAGTCTTCTAATTTTTTTTTTTCAATCAGCCTTCAGTTTCCCTCCTCCCCTTTTGGCTCCCCCAGGGAATAAGTGGAAGAAATCTGAGAGTTTTCCCAAATTTCTCCAAATCAGAGAAATAACCTTTAAAGTTGGATGCATTCTGCTCTACCCCCTCATGGCAGAGGTGAGGATGAGGAGGGAGGCCCTGGGACTATGATGAACTGAAAAGCATCCTCACCTAAGGGTGCCCGTGTGCGTGCTCAAAGACATCAGAAAAGTGTTCACAGTGCTGTGGTCTCTTGTGTTTACGTCAAAAGACAGAACAAAAGAGCTGTAAAGTCCTTTGCAAACAAATAACTAAATGATGCCCATAATACACATGCAGACGACACCGGAGTGGGTGTCTGCCTTGTGGGGGACTGCCCTTGCTGCTGTATCTCAGCACATTAAATACGCGAGGCCACGTACCTATGACTTGAAAAAGAAAAACTGCAATTACCACTGTAAATGCCTCCAGTAGCAGTGGCAGGGTTAGAGAGAGGTCATTCTTTTTTTTTAATACAAGAAAAATGTGAAATAAAATGTTAAGAAAATGAAAGTGGAATTAAGCATTAAGAAAAGGAGTAAAACCCATCAGTTACCCTTTCTGTTCTTCATAAAGACACAAAGAAAATTATATGGTGTGGGGTGATTACCGCAATATACAGGGTTGTGCATATTGAATCATTGGTATTTTAAAGAAACCAGTGTAATTTTAAAGAGGGGATATTTGAAGGCTCCAAGAAATGCATTTGTGTCCATGGGGTCTACGGGTGGAGGAGTGGTTTGATAAAGCCATTATAACTGGATTTAAACACTTCCATCTGATGCAGTGCTTTGAAGGAGTAAAAATTATCATTTGGTGTTCACAAATTTGTCAGAAACCTAGTGTTTAAAGTTGGCACCCAGAATCAAGCACACTATCTCCAAAGAAGAGTTGTTCCTTAATCCAATACCTTTCCAACTGACCTTTGGTCTGACTGTAAGATCCCTGGGGAAGAAAAGTTTTCTTTTCAACTCTGTCAACCTTTCCTTTTCTTCTCTTCTTTCTTTTCTTTTTTCTTTCCTTTTCTCTTCTTTTCTTTTCTTTTGTCTTTTCACTATGCCTCCCTCCTCCAAAGAATTAGATTGCGTTCCCATTTGCACCAGGAAACTGTTTTGGTCTAAAACTGCCTGTCTCTCTGCCTTCCCAGACAAAAGGCAGTCGGTGGGCACATGCCTGAAGTTATCTTAAGAAATTGAGATCCCCCTGTGAGCCCCCATTTCTGCTGATCTCACACTTTCCCATGAACAGGGGCTTCCTTTAAATGTCAGTGAGGTCAGTTTATCCTATAAATCAAGGGCATACTCCCTCCAACTAAAGCTGCAACCAGCTCCAATTAGGACAAAACTGGGCTCTTCTAAATTCACAGTCAGAAAACAAAAAGATGAGAAATCGGGGTCCTGCTTTCATTAAAAAGATCATTGTGCCAGTGTGGTGATAACCCTGAAACTCGGGAAATAATTAAAGGAATTAATTCCCCCACTCTATTTCATTTTTTCATTTGTGATTTTTAAACTTCAGACTGAGAAACTAAGAAGATAGGCTATCTCTACATTATTTAGATTTTGTCTGCGTGTAGGGCATTTTGACATTTTTTTTTCTCTCTAACAAGAAAGAAGTTAAGGAGGTTTTTTTGTTTGTTTATTTTTGGTTTTGTTTGGTTTGGTTTTAACAACGCAGTAAAAGGAAACAAACTCGGGTCTCCTGCGGAAGCAAGACTGGGCAGGAGGGCTCGGAGAGTACGTTTGACTACGCAGAAAAGACGCTCTCAACACGGCAAGGTCAGGGGTGAGAAAGGAAAGGAACAGTGGGGTGGCACTGCTCAAAAACATGCACGACCTAGATAGACGTCCACTCGCATTCCGGGACACTCCCCGGGTCAGGAGACTCTAAAGGAAAGTAGGAGGCTCAGAGAAACACGGAAAAGAACAATAAAATGAACAGCATGGAATCGCTCTACATTTTTGTCTTCACCACAGTGGTGGGTGTCACTTCCCTTCCTAAGGTAGATATAGTGAAGTCTGTTAAGGTAAAGATCATCTGTGAGCGAGAAAGCACAAAATTCCTCTCTGAATGAGCTACATGTAAGTTACTAGTAGTAACTTTGAGACCTCCATTTCCGAGGAAAATGAAGTGAAGCATAAGAATGAAACCAATTAGGTGACATTTGAACTTCCTGCCTGAGCAAATTTAGCCTGATTGCCAGAATCCAAGAAGAAGAATCCTACAATTTCCACAGCGTGCTAGACTCCTCGCAGCGGCATCTGATCCCCAAGCAAGCTGCCGGCA